ATTAGATGGCTTGCATTTTCAGTCGGAAAAATGCTATTTAACGATTAGTTCTAGTTAAAATATCCAAAATTAATTGCAAGTCACGCGCTTTGGTTCACAAAGCAAGATCTAGAAGTCAAGTTTACACAAGTAACCTTGTGCTCACACTGTCGCGATGTTCAACACACGCAATTTTAAAATATCTACCATAAATTTCTATACTTTGAACTTTCGATGCTTTGAACACCAGCCGTTTCTTTTTTGACTTTTTAAGGTTTGCGCAGAATTTAACGTCGATTCGCACAAGCAAACAAACAATGGAGTAATGGAATGTCATTTGACACGTAGTAAGGTTACCTTAGAATCATTTCAAACCCGAACATCAAAAGTTAAAGATAAATGCACTTCACAAGTATTACAAAAATCCTGCTTCAAATCTTGGTAAAGTTTAAGGTTAAGGTTGGTGTGTGCGTCCCTGTTGCTACTGTTTCAATGAAAAATAAAGTAGTTCAAAACTGTGTGTTTGCCTTTAACTTATTAGAGTCATTAGTTGTTTTACCCAAGTTGGCAGGTTTTTCCGATTACCACCATTGCATGGGACAATGCTGTCGGAAGGTGTATGATCACCGTCGGTCTGTGTGTAGGTGTTCACAGTCAGGTGAGCCTAGAGTTTAAGATGAACAACGAAACAACTGGTTACTTGATTGGGCAAATTTAAAGACCACACAATTATGATAGCTCATTACTTGTGTACTCCTAGTTTCCACCTGTTTCCGCAAGCTTTGAGAGTACGACATTCGTTGTGAACGGAGTTCTTCGTAGTCCTCTTGAGGCTTTTAATGTGGGATAAAAACATACTCCTAAGCTGCGAGCTTCAGATGAACCATTAACAGACAAAAGGATTATTTAAAAAGATTCAAATGGCACCGTCTTTTAGTCTTTTAACACTCAAATTCTAGTACGCCTCAGTGACACAGATGAAAAACCCACTAATGAAAAAAGTCAAAAATGGATTTTGGATTTACAAACGACCTATTTTATTTGCACAAAGCGGTGTCCAAATACTCTAAGTCAACATGAAGTTGTTGACTTGTCTTCCAGGACAACTTTGATAACACTTTTTACCGTTACTTGGGTATTTTCAGATAAATACTTACATTTCAGACTCAAAAAAGCAAGACTAGAGTTAAAAACGGAGGCCAAAATCAAAATTGGATAAAAATGTTATTAAAAGAAAAGCATTCCTGGGTTACTTTCATGTTATTTTTCCCGATTGCTTTAATTCTTTATCGAATGACCATGCTTCCAGTTTAACGACGGTAGTTGAGAAAAGAAAGTTAACTTTCAGACATCTTTTAAAGCAAGATAGTAGAAACCGATAAAAGTACGTGTTAAAATTTTTCAAAAAAGGAAGAGATTTGACTAAGATTAACCCAGGAATAATTGCCTACAGGTCAATTCATCAAAAAACCGTCTACATACTGTACTCGTTTTATTGCGAATATTGGAGAAGTTGCGTTGAAAATCACCGATTACAGAGCTGTGCCGAACATTCTCAGTCATCGACTGGATGCCGCTTCGCCTAAAGCGGCGAGTTTCTGTATTAATCTGCAGGACAGAAACACTTGCATTTTAGAAGCAATCGTCAATTTAAAAAGTTTAGCTCTTAATGCGTAAACCGTTTGGATAAAATACAAGCTATAAGAGTTTGCAGGAGTACAAGAATCGTGTCTATTCTAATTTTATCACACAAGTGAATCTGCTAGATTGATATATGTCGCAGTTCCTAATTCGATGCTGCTGACACTTTTTCTTAGCAATTTAATTTACATGTATGTGCAGCTTCAAAGTGAAACAAAACCAAAGCCTGTGAGAAAGTTCACAGGCACAATTTTATTTAGCAGTGACTGACTTCAGTGGACTAACATTAGTAATCGCAGCTTAATGTTCAATTAGTAAAGTAGTGTAGTAGTTCACGTTGTATAATACTTAAAACACTTTTTTGCATCTGGAATGTTGTAGCAATATCTCCGGGAAATATTTTTGCTACTTTCACTGATAAAATGAACGTTTCTGGATATATCAAATAATTTTAGTCCAAGTTTATAACTCTATAATGTCCCATTTGGTGTGAACAAATTGTTTGCAATGGGCAAACTAGATATCTTATAGAATGACTGATTTTTTGTCATCTTGGAACTTTGTATTACGCAGGAAAATTTCAAACCCACACAATTATCTGCAGCATTAAAGGTCGTTTGATAAAGACGTCAGCATCGGAATTCAGGCTATGTATCGTTAGGTCCTTATACTTTTTGTGTATTTTAAATATTCTAAGATATGCGTTAAATATTTTGCGCTTTCTTACTGGGTGCCGTTGACGACGTCTAACTGTTTGAGCTTGTTCATTATAGTTACTTTTCGTCACAGATGGTCTATGGCCCCGGTGTCCGTAGTTGGACATTGGTTTCGATCTTCTAGTAATGTTCCCGGACAAACTTAGATCGCGTTTCCGTGGTTCACTTTGCTTCGTTGGAAGAATCAAGGAAAAGTCTGCTGCTGTACTGCTCTGAGAATCCTAAGACAAATATTTCGACTGTTATAAATTACACCATGCTGCAAACCGTAAAAAAGGTGTTGAATATAATTATAATTAAAATGAAAATCCCATTGATTTAAGATCGGTGGCCTCGATATTTACTAGGGTTGCAGAAAATATTAAATTTTACCAAAACACAACTGCAAACATTATTGTAACACTAAAAGTGAATGTTGTGTGTATTTGAAACTTTTTTAAAGTACTAAGTACATTACTGGCTGACTGGTATTACATGGCTTAAGGATAAGGACATATGGCTAAACAATGACAAAAAAACATCTTGGTTCTGAAGCACTATCTTACAATTGGAATTGGCGTATGAGGCTTCATTGCGGAGTCCTTATTAATTTGGTCAGGTGGCATTCCCCTTCTATTGATGAATCTCGGCTTGGTTCTGTGCTTTTGTCCGGGTGATATATTAGGATGCTCCCCAACCGTTGGTCGCGGGGTGTGGGCAGCAACTGTATTTATCCAGCTATCAACAACTTGGGCGTTTTGTGAATACTGTCTTGGAGGTAAGGTCTTAAGTAGAAAAGCAGTGGACGAAACCAAAATAGAAGAAAGAGTTAAACGCATTTGAAAGAGGAAAACACTAGAAATTTACGAAAAGAATATTCAGGTATTACCATAACATCAACGACAACCAATTGTCTTTTAAAAAATCCAGCAATGCTTAATAAGAATTTTAATTAAAAAAAATTAATTTGTTAAAAATTTTGTTACTTACCAAGTAGTTAACTTCATCGGAAGGTTGCTTCACAACGTCAGTGTTGCAATTTTCATCACGTGGATCAAAGTTAACCTATCAGACAACAAGTTACGGTTTGAGCACATGCGAATGCTTAAAAACATGCTAGTATGTGTAAGTAAAAATAAAGACAATACGAAAGAAACTAGTAGCTTTACCGGTGACGGCTTTGGTGAATTCACTTGAAAAGTAATTTTCCGATTCCGCCGGCTACGTTTTCGATCTGAATCTGTTGATTTTGGAGAGCTAGATTTGAGATTTGATATTTCATTTGATTGGGCTGAGGTTTGGAAGTCGTCAAATTTCTCGGTTTCACGTGTTGCCGTCATCATTTAATATATTCTAGTGTTCAACAACTTTACTATTACAAAAACATGTATGCCTGTACAAAAAAATTGATCTGTACTAAAACGTGCTTTAGAATCCCCGCAAAGCAAATTCAAAGAAAAGGGTCTCCAACCCAAGGGCGTATCTTAAACGTTTTACCCCATTATAACTCAGTTCAATATAAAACTTTTTTTGTAGAATATTAATCTACATGCATCTAAAATACAATAACATGTTTTTTAAATTAAAAATCTTATAATAATATGCAGACTGTGTTTACATTAGTAAATTATGAAAATGGAAAACTTTTAAGTGAATAATAAATCCAGGCATAATGTCAAAGTTGCGATTCAAATCAGTATCTTCTAAAGTCTAATATTTCTAGATTAAGACTTTAAAGTTAAAATTAAAACTTTCAAATATTTATTTTTAATTCGGTTTATAATCGTGTAACCTCGTTATATGCTGTCTGAGCTTCTGCAATAGCATCATTAGAAAAATATAAGTGCAGTGCAATGATTCAAACTGAATTAAGACATCTTGCTCATGATTAGTTTCACAAGACCCATTAGGAACATAAATGCACTCTGTTCAGAACCCACGGCACCTATTTAGCTCTTTGACAACAGATGTTTTCGAAATAAGTGCCTGTAGTTTGGTTTTTTTCACAAATCTTGCATTGAACCAATGCGCACCATGCATGACAGATATCGAAATCTCTTAGCTTTTACATTTGTGATTGTCGGACAAGCAACTAATCTTCAAATATCTGGTAATACTGAACAAAATTCTGGTTTTCGAATTGCTATTCCTAATTTTTTTTATCATTGTCTCACGTTAGACGCCAATCTTCCCCGCATGATAAAGCCTTACACCGGGCGCCGTCTATCCGGGTCTGCCACACTGGCTGCCTATCTTCCTGCACGACAGAGGTATGGTTAAGTATAGAGTATTTAAGTTTGTCTGCAGCTTTACACGTTCTTACTGTAAAATAACCTAGCCCTAGTAAGAAGAAGACTGGTGCAACATAACAGGCTTTACTGACCAATCACAAGCCAGAACCACGCGTTCGGCGCTATTCACCAGCGTCTACCATGCTGTTTACACCAATAATTATATACCACTCCTCATTCGTGTCAGTCTCTGGTTGGCTGCATATCTCCCTCGCGTGCCATTAGGTCGCAGGGAGACAGAGGATTGACTGAAGCCAGCGTCGCACAATATGTCTGCGCCCCTATACGGCCCCACTGTTGAATACTTCAGCCCTAATAGGAAGAAGACTATTACAAAATAACAGGCTTTATTGACCAATCAGAAGCCAGAACCACACGCCAGGCGCCTTCCATCCTAGTCCACCACGCTCGTGACGCCGCTCATTATATACTGCTCCTCAGTCGTGTCCTTCTCTGGTTGGCTACTTATCTTCCTTGCAAGCCATTGGAACGCAGAGACACAGGATTGGGTGAGGCCAGGGGGTCCAACATGTCTGCGCCCTGATCCGACGCCAAACTGCCTCCTCCTCAGGAGTGAAGCTGTCCTCAGCTGCTGGCTTAGTTCACCGCACTGTTGTTGATATCCAGTTCGACACTTCCCGCACCCCAAATCTGGTAGGTTAGTGGCCCATGCGAATAGTTGACGAGGGACTTTTGTAGACTTGCAGGAAGGACTCATCGTCCATCGTAGATTCCTTCGCAGTTGTAGGCCAGCTGGATTTTACTATCCATGACGTCGTTGCTGAGTTGCCAATGCCTCTTCAGATGCAGTAATCCAACTCCCGGGCAATGTCTATAGATCCAATGTTTGGGACATCGGATGACCGCCATGACAACTCCAGCTAGCATTCAAGAGTCTTTGTCTCTGTTGACCATAGAAGAGAAAGGTCTGGGGTTCGATTTGCGTTATTCAAACGCATCCGCTGCCACCAATGTAGAATACCCGAGCCCTAATAGGAAAAAGACTCGTACAACAGAAGAGGCTTTATTGACCAATCACGAGCCAGAGCCACGCGTCAGGCGCCTTCCATCCGAGTCCACCGCGCTGGCCACGCCGCTCATTATATACTACTCCTCAGTCGTGTCCTTCTCTGGTTGGCTGCTTATTTTCCTCGCATGCCATTGAAACGCAGAGAGACACAGGTTTGGCTGAGGCCAGGCTTCCAACATGTCTGCGCCCTGATCCGACGCCACACTGCCTCCCCCTCAGGAGTGAAGCTGTTCTCAGCTTCTGGCTTGATTCACTGCCCTGTTCATGAGTGGTAAAATATCCAGTTCGACATTTCCCGCACCCCACATCTCGCAGGTTAGTGGCCCATGCGAATAGTTGACGAGGGACTTTGCTTTTGTAGACTTGCAGGAAGGACTCATTATCCATCGAAGTTCCTTCGCAGATGCGGTTCAGCTGGCTTTCACTGTCCAAGTCGTCGTCGCTGAGTAGCCAATGCCTCTTCAGATGCAGCAGTCCTAATCCCGGGCAATGTCTATAGATCCACTTTATTGGACATCGGATAACCGCCATGACAATTTCAGCTGGCATTCAAGGGTCTTCGCCTCTGTTGACCATAGAAGAGAAAGGGCTGGGGTCCGATTCGCGTAATTCGAACGCGTCCGCTGCCACCAATGTAGAATACCCGAGCTCTAATAGGAAAAAGACCGGTACAACAAAAGAGGCTTTACTGACCAATCAGAAGCCAGAGCCACACGTCAGGCGCCTTCCATCCGAGTCCACCACGCTGGCCACGCCGCTCATTATATAC